AATATTGTTGAAGTTAACGTTCGTTGATATAGCGTTTGTTATAGAGCGACTGTTGAAAATAAGTGTACCGTAAAGTTGTATTCAGAAAGAATAAACCAGTTTTATTAAGTAAGGACTCGTGTCGCTAAAGTTTCGTCGGAACGAAGTTACGGAAAGTTAATTAACAAACGGAGACGTAACAATATATATATATATCAAGATAAATAATTTACGTAACAGAGACCACTAGGCCTAACCGTTTTGCGTGAGAAATTTTTGAATGTTATTAAAATATAAGTGAACATGACGTTACAAAAACAAAGGATTCCATCGTGAGATTATAAACAAACTGTTAAGGATGCTCTGAAAGCACGTATTAAACACCGAAACATTAGAACAAAATTACAAAAAAAAAAGAAGAAAGAGAGAAAAAAAGGGTCACCGCATTGAAAATATACATTGATATAGGAAGGAATATGTCTATTACTGGTGTGTTGGATTATTAAGTAGTCTCTAAGCATTTGCTTTGGCTAAATATATTTAGTAATTGTATATATTTTTTTATTTTAGTTTGTTTGTTTTGGATTTCACGCAAAGCTACACGAGGGCTATCTGCGCTAGCCGTCCCTAATTTAGCAGTTTAAGACTAAAGGGAAGGCAGCTAGTCATCACCACCCACCGCCAACTCTTGGGCTACTCTTTTACCAACGAATAGTGGGATTGACCATCACATTATAACGCCCTAACGGCTGAAAGGGCGATCATGTTTGGTGGGACTGGGATTCAAACCCGCGACCAGCAGATTGTGAGTCGAGCTCCCTAGCCTCCTGGCCATGCCGGGTCTTTTAGCTGCTGTAGTTATTGAATTGTTCTAATGGGAATCACTCCCATTCTATTATGTTGTGTTCAAATGGAAAACTTGAGAAGAGAATCTTGGGAGTATGTTCTTCTAGGGCTTTTCTTTCCTGATACTGACAATCAAAAAGATGGAGCCTTCCATCAGCCACGTTTCTCTTAAGTTAATTGTTTAACCACATGAGTTGCTGTCACTTATCTAGGTAATGTCATCCACAGGACGAATGTAACTATCTCTGATTTGTGCTTTTGTATTAGAATCCTAGAGATGGATGCCGTGTGGAAATTATTTATTCAATTGATAACGCAGATTGCGAGTCGAACGCCCTAACCACCTGGCCATGCCGGGCCTTATTTTAGTTCCTAGACACACAATCAGTTTGAGAGTGCGGAAACCGCTTGATTTTCACGTGCGCATGTATTCATTACGTCATACTACAAATCTAATAAATATTGGTCCACATCCATACACCAGTTATTTTTCTAAACTAAGAAAACACCATCGTTTTGAATTAATATTTTACACTCAACACTTGCTCACTAATAAATCTTTAACATATTCCCCCCCCAGTGGCATAGCGGTATGTCTGCGGACTTACAACGCTCGAATCCGGGTTTCGATACCCGTGGTGGGCAGAGCACAGATAGCCCATTGTGTAGTTTTGTGCTTGATTACAAACAAACACCCTATAACCCCAATTACATTTTTTGTAGGGCGAACAACTGTTTGACTTATATTTTAGATTGGTTACTGCCAAATTTAAAAATACATTGTGGGGTAAGGTTTGTACTCTCTGAGTATATTTTTAGTTAATAATAAAATGTTGTTTCCAAATAATTTGTTTATTTTTTGCAATGTATACGAAGCTTAAGTTGTCCTACTGGTTCATTAACATCGTTATGAAAGCCAAGAAA